GTATAAGCTCCTTACAGGAACTGACTCACTCAGGCCTTCCAACAGCTCTACGAGGAAGTGCTGTCATTATTTTTTAGGGGTATGGGACTTGCATAGCATGCCCAGGCCATGCAGAGGCAGGATGCAAATCCAGAGAGGCTGGTTCCAAAGTCCATGCTACTAATGGCCTCACTATGGAGTCAAAAGCAGGCACACATTCCGTCTGTTTCCATGCATGCTAATCCCACTCGTGTCACCTGAACCACACCCTCTGGCACCCTTCCCTTGGCCTGGCTCAGCACCGGGCACTGGGGCAAGACGGTGAGGAGGAGCGTGGCTCCTGCCAGCTGCACTCCTGGTGAATGCTGTGTGAGGTGCTTCATGACCTCCAGACTCACTGGCTGGCTCGTGGCCTTCCAGGACCCAAAGATGTAAGTCAGGTAATTCAGCAGCTCATTCACACATGCCCAGCACCTCCCGCTTCTACACATCCATGTGCTGCACTGGCTGCCTCTTCTCCTAATTAATTCCATTCTATCTTTCAATAATATCTGCATGTCTGTCTTATCTACACACAACATGGAGCCATATACTCCTTTAACAAAGACCACCAGGATCAAAGGCTACATATTCAGTGCCATCTCGGGCAAATTCCTTTACTTTTTCATGCCTCAGTTTCCTCAGATGTAAGATATATAGGTATACCAATGGAAATGCGTTAATGACACCTGTAGAACACTGGCGGCTTATATTAAGCGCTCAACAAATATCATCTGCTCATAATACTGGTGGTGGTGGTAGCGAGAAAGAAACATATTAACTCACTAAATTTTCACAATGTTTCCATGAGATGGCTATTTTTATTTATTTATTTATTTATTTTTGCCTCATTTTTAGCAAGGAGAAAACTAAAGCTAAGAGCAATTGAAATTGAGCCCCAGGTCTGTCTACCATAGTGTTGCACCACTCACAGCAGCAGACCCCGAGCCTGTCCCTGGGGGGCCACCATCATGAGGTCTCCTTCCCGCCCACAGCTGGGAGCAGTGGCCTCACCTGACAGAACAGAGTCACAGGGACTCCCAGTGTCTGTCCTCCGCAGGGAGTTCCATGGCCTGCGAGGCCCGAGAACCCTTCCTGCTGTCCCCAGGCTCCTCTGGCCAGTCTCCAGACCCAGAGGGGATTGGAGCCTCTCCTCATCACCATGACCTCACCAGGCACACGGCAGACTTGCCGAAAGCCGGTGAGACAAGAAAAGATCCAGCTGATCATTTCACTCAAAGAAATGAGAGAAACAGAAAGGGGGCTTTCCAGCAGCCGCCTGGGTGGACATTGTCTGGACAGTCCCTGGGCCCAGAACCGACAGTGAGTGCTTCCTCTGCCCCCCTCCACATACCTGCAGAGACAGTCCTGACTTGGACTCAACGTGCAGACCCTGCAGGGGGCCCCATGTGTCACCGGCGCACTGCGTGAGATGCAGTGTCCTCACCTCCAGGGCTTTGTTCCCACCTGCAAATGAGGCGACCACAGGGCCTCCCCACAGAGCTATGAGCGAGCACATGCATATGAAGTCAGCGTGAAAGACAGGGCCTGGGACAGGACAACGCAGAGAAAGGGAAAAAGAAACCTGTTTTTCTGGGTGAGAGGCTGGACCGTGGGAACAAATGCGGGTTGGGGTGCAGGGTGCAAGAACATGTACTGAGCTTATGCCTCTGCTAAAAATGATGTCCGGTGCTTCACATATGAATTCTGAGTCATCCAACATTCATTCTCTCACCTGCTATTTGCTGTGCTCCTACTATGTGCTGGCACTATGTAGGAAGCTGAATTCCCAGTAATGTAGGAGGCTGGCAGGTCCTGGCTGCAAGAGCTTTTCAGCGAGCAGGAGAGATAGCTACACAACTTACTTAGTCATAAGCATAATGAGTCTGTGGCAAGGGGGGGGAGTTCAGTCCCCTGGCAACATGACAGGGGGACCACATGTGGGCTGTGACCTTTCTGAAGGAGGGACACTTGCCTGAGTTCTGAAACAGACGTGAAAACTAGCCACAGAAAAGTGAAAAGGTAAGAAGGGGTTGACAGGTAATGCAAGGTGCTGGCCCCTGGAAGAGAACTTGGGATGCTCTGGGAGGCCACGGACTGTGCTAAGTGGCTGGGGTGGGGCCAGGAAGTTAGAACTGTGGCCACCTGTTTATGCAGGGGTTCTCCAAGCACAGTCCCCACCAGTAACACTGGCCCTGCCTCAGACCTGCTGAATCAGAAATCCAGTGCCTGAGGAACACCTTTAAAAGATGAGGGAGACTCTTGAGAGAAAACTACAGGCTAACTTCGTTCCATTGCACATTCCCGCTACACCAGGCTCCCGACTCACAGTGACACTCCCCAGCCTCCTTCCTATTTCGGAAAGGGCCGCCCAGCCTCTTCACTTGCACCCACCTCCCACCCCAGCCAAACATCTTAGTTTCCTGTTACTTTTGTTCCTGCTAATCATTTAATTTGGCATGGCGTTTTGGACACAAATTAGAGGACGGCTATTATGGCAAAACTTTAAGAGAAAATCTGAAAGTACTGAGAAATGCTCTGGAAATGAGAGATAACCATGTAAAGTAAGACATCTGGGCAAAGTTTAAAAGGACCCTGTATGCTCAGCCTTGAATGAATGTCACTGTGGGGAGCCCCAGTGACAGTTTTCTAATACACAAGGAATGCACGTCAGAGAAAGGGATCCATTTTTTCACACATCAGTGAGAGCAGAACAAGCAGGACCGGCTCAGGTTTCAGCCCAGAGAACATCTGTCATATGTTTGAGCCACAGGAGAGGAGGAGTTGCCAAGACAGCTGGTGAGATCATCCTCCCAGACGCTGGTGATGAAATCACAAGTGGCCAGGGTCACTGTCCATCAGGGATGACCACACGGGGTCCAGGCCCACCAGACTCCGCCAGGGGCCTCCTGTCACCTGGCAAATCCATCCCCTGGGCAAGGCAGATGCCAACCGGGGGTCACCGTGTTTTGCTTCAGATACCCAAGAGTCCAAGGAACACCATGCAACTCTGCAGATGAGTTAGACCGCCAGCTGCACCTGGAGGCCAGGACTTCATGCATTTGTTTCATGAAAAAGCCTATTTAGTCCTTTCCTATAGCCAACTCCTATCTTCCCAGGAGCAGCAGCAGCAGCTGCCGGTGCATCAGTAGGAGCACTGGGCTACTGAGCATTTGCTCGGCACCAGTGCAGCACTCGGCCCCTCACTCATGCCCCACCATTAGCAGAGGCCAATGTTACAGATGAAGAAACTGAGACAGAGAGGCCTACTGAATGCTGGTCATGTCCAGGCAGAGACTGCAGCCCGAGTCTCTGGCCCCAGAGTGCACGGTCTGGAGAAGGCCTCCCCATTGCTGTGACAAAGTATGCACGTCAGACGCTCAAGGACTTGATCCCAGTGTGGCCCTGCAGGAGGCTCTGAGGCCGGCAGGGTTAGCTCCTCAAAAATGTCCAGTAGGCTGGAGAATGGATGCCTTTGAAAAATAACCAATTCTGTGTCCTTTCTCTGCACGCATCCCCCTGCCCCAGATCTGGTGATATTTAACAGCAGCTCTTTGCTGGAAGGCCACCCACTTCCCTACACCTGCTCCTTTGGACCCCGCCACCAGCCTGAATAAACCAACAGGGCCGTGGCCACATGATGTCCACACACACCATTGCTCTCTCCACCACTGCAGCCACTGACCAGCACGTGCCTTTCTACACTCTCCTCACACTCTCCTCATAGGGACTGTGAGGCTACTGTCACTAGCAGGGCTACTCTGCAGGTACAGCTGTTGCGGGTTCACGTGACCCTGGACCGCATTTCTGTTCCATCTTCTCTACAGTGCAATTACAGGCTCATCTGGCTTCTCTGTTTTTGCTTCTTTCTGGAGTCCTGAAAATGCCTGAAATGCTTCTATTACAGATTCAAAAAAGCTGATTTCCTCAGCATTTGACGTTGTGTGGGCACCCGGGCCTCACCCCATGCCTGCATGACCAGCTTCTCCTGAGGCCTCATTCATCCCTCAGATGGTTCAGCTGAGGGGACCACTCCTCACGCAGAACGTCAAGCTGCACATCTGCCCACCCCCTTTAGGAGCCAAAGAAACACAGACGCAGAAGGCAGTGCCCATGGCGGATTCAGGTCACTGGCTCTGCCTAGAGCATGTTCTCAGCATCACAGCTCTGCATGCTGGCAGGAAGGGCACCCACAGAGAAGCTGGTGTCAGGTGGGCTTCCTGTGAACAGGACAGACCTGGGAGAAGTGGTTAAAGAGAAACGTTCCTACTATTCAGACAACTGCATGCTGATGTCGGGCCTGGAATCAGGTGAATGAAATTTATTCCTTGTTAATGGAAATGCTGAATTAAGCCACAAATGTATATTCATGGGTATCTTAATATTCTTCCAGCTTCACCAAACTCAGTAGCACTTAAAGCAGGCTTGTCCCTCATGCACAGAGACAGAGAGGGCCCGGAGAGCCCAGTGCTAAGTCTTGAGGGTGAGGAGGGGCTCTTCCAGGACTCCCTCCACCGGCCCTGCTTTCCAGACCAATATAAGGGAGAGCGGGGGAGGGGGAGGCAGAGATGCCTCTGGAGGCCTGGCCTCAGGGACTCCAGCCTGCGGTGTTGATGCCACATCCCCCAAAGGCCCCATGAGCACCAGCGCTCCCCAGTGAACTCAGCCAAGACCCGCCAGCCTCATCCACATGGGGCAGCTCTTGGCTGCAATTCCAGCAGACATTCTTGTTCTGAACCCCCCATTCTCCCCAGGTCACCTGTGTGACACCCATAGTGATCAGCAACACATAGCTGGGCTGCAGATGAATGGAGAGGCCCTGTGGCAATAGTGTGCAGGAATGTTCTCTGTGTGTGGCCAACTGCTACCTCTGCTCTCTACCAGTAACCAGTCATGTTGCACCAACTGTGGCTCAGGAAACTCAGCTTCTAGAATAATAACCCACCTCGGAACATGAGGCAAATTAAATTGGCGTCAACTACCTGCATGGTGCCTACAACTTGGGAAGTCACAGCCAGTCTCGAAGGGGTCAGTGCTGCCAGCATCGCACTGAATCTTGCATTCTTGTTCTTAATAGGGGAATGGTATTGCCCATCTGGAGCCACAGAACCAAACCTGCAGTGGGGGGAAGAGAGGTAGCGTTAACAGAAGAGAAGAACATGGCACCACAAGCAAAGAGGTCAGGCAGCTCCCGCCTGCCCACACAGGAAAGTCTCACGCGGCTCCTCATCCTGCACCTTCCCTCAGGAGATGGCAGGGTAGGGACAGGGGAAGTGCCTCCCCTGGAGGAGATGCTGACAACGGGAAAAGCAGGCTTTCTGCCACTGCCAACCTAGGACTCAGCAGCAGCCCCTGACAAAGACAGGCATGAGGACCACCACTATTTAACTGACACCATTACCTGAATGTGAAGACCGGCCATGAATCCGCTCTTTCATTGTTCAGATATCCGCGTACCATAAAACTCCCCTTTTTAAAGTGTACAGTTCAATGGTTTTTAGTATATTCACAAAGTTGTACAACCATCTGCTACTATCAAATTCCAAAACATTTCATCACCACAGAAAATAAACCCCATACCACACTCCCCAGTGGTTGTCCAGACCTCAACAACAACTGATCTACTTTCTCTCTCTATGGATTTGTCTCTTCTGGAAATTTCACATAAATAGAATCCTATAATATGCGACTTTTGTGTCTGGCTTCTTTCACTTAACACATTGTTTTCAAGTTTCATGTATATTGTAGCATGTATGTAAGTACGTTTGTTTTTTTTGTGTGTGTGTGTGGCCAAATGGTATTCCATTGTATGGATCTACCATATTTTTGTCTATCCATTCACCAGTTTATGAATATTTGGGTTGTTTCTACTTTTTGGCTATTATGAATAATTATGTTATGAACACTTGTGTACAAGTTTTTATGTGGACAATGTGTTATCAATTCTCATACATACCCAGGGGTAAAATTTCTGGGTCATATGAAAACTTTAAAGTTTTGCTGAACTGCCAATCTTTTCCAAATCAGCAAGGCCATTTACGTCCTCAGCAAGAATATATGAGGTTCCGATTTCTCCAAATCCTTGTCAACTCTTGTTATCACCTGTGTCTTTTACTATAGAGAATCAAGTGGATGCAAAGTAGTATTTCACTGTAATTTTGATTGGCATTTCCCTAATAACAATGATATTCAGCATATTTTAATGTGCTTATTAGCCATGTGTATATCTTCTTTGGAGAAATGTCTATCAGATTTTTGCCCACGTTTTAATTGGGTCATGTGACTTTTTTTACTGTGGAACTGTACTAGTTTCATTTATAGTCTGGGTACTAGAGCCTTATGATATATGCAATTTGCAAATATTTTCTCCCATTCTGTGGACTGCTTTTTACTTTCTTCATAGTGTCCTCTGAGGCACAAAATTTTGTTAATTTTGATGAAGTCAAATTTATCTATTTTTTCCTCTGATCTCTTGTGCTTTTGGTATCAAATCTAATAATAAGTCGTCGCTTAAACTAAAGTTATAAAGATTTACACGTATGTTTTCTTCTAACAGTTTTACAGTTTTAACTCTTACATTTAGATCTGTGATCTGTTTTGAGTTAATTTTAATCTATGGTATGAGGTAAAGTTCCAACTTTATACTTTCACATGTGAATATTCAGTTGCCCCAGCATCATCTGTTAAAAAAACAATTCTTTCCTAATTAAATTGTCTTGGCACCCTTGTTGAATGTCAACTGACCATAAAGGTAAGAATTTATTTCTAGACTCTGTTCTATTCTGTTGTGTGTATATATATCCTTATGCCCATGCCACACTGTCTTGATTACTGTAACTTGGTAGTAAGCTTTCAAATCAGAAGTGTGAGTCTCCGCCTTTGTTCTTTTTTGTCAAGATTGTTTTGGCTATTCTAAGTCTTTTACATTTCCATACAAATTTTAGGGCCAGTTTCTTAATTTCTCCAGAAAAAGGCAACTGAGACTTTGATAGGGATCCCACTGAATCTGTATGTCTATTTGCTGACCCTTTGATCAAGTGATAAACCAGCACCCCCAACATGGGACTCCTCCCTCAGGCATCTGTGTTACTGCTGCTGTTCTGTACTATGTGTGTGTGTTGGCAGGGGAGGGGGCATCTTAAATGCCAATGGAATGGCTTTAAAATCAAATCTTACTTACCAAAGAATATTCTGTGTGTGCTCATATCTTCTGCAGACTATGTAGTTCCCTATCATTTTTCTTTCTGGTTTCTTTACTTTCTAATCTCCAGTGCATTGGATGAATGTTAAACCAGTGGGCCCAGCTTCCAGCAGAGGGCTGTCCAGGCCACTGAGATCTGGTAGGCTGAGTGAGATATGGGGAGCTCCACATCTGTAGCTCTGCGGCCCTCCTCCCCATCTCTGATTGGAGTGATGCCATAAGTGATCAGGAAGTGCACAGGCATGCATCTGAGGTCACGGGCACTGGCAGCTCCTGGAGGGCCTGAGGGCTTCTCCAGGATAAATGCAAAGAAGCTGTTGTTATTTCCAACCAATTCAAGGGGAGGGGAAGGGGAGTTAACAAAGAGAATTCGATCCATTTTAAGTTTGTTTCCCCCACATTTCTCTTAAACTTTTGGCACCCACAACTTTTATCTGCTAACAAGAACTTGCAAGGAACAAAAAGAAGTGCAGTATAAAAGGAAAATCTGTAGGAAAGGGGGGAGCAAGCCTGATTGGGGACCCATTTTACAGATTTAAATGTGACTGTGATTCAGAGTTTTAACTGAATACATGAAATGCTGCTGAGAAAAGCAAGGTAACTAGTGTTTCTAAGCCTCCGTGAAGAGCACTGTGAACCCCTGACTGCACCTGGAGAAGCCACCTTCACCTCATTGTTTCGAGGGAAGCTGGGAAGTGACACTGAGCACCTGCAACATTACCTGTCCTAGTTTTAGAGTCTCTGGCACTGAAAGGTAGTGTCCTACCTTCTGCCACCCACAAAGGGGACAATAACACCCAATCATTTATGACAGAATAAACATTAAAGGAAACAACCTAAATACCCAACAATAAAGGATTGAGTACATAAATTATAGATAATTTATTTAAGTCTCTGATGGCAATGTTAAAAATGACCATGTATGTGTGTATTTAGTGTTGCACAGAAACATTTGACGTACAATGTTAAACAGAGGTTATAAGTTATAAAGAATAGAATTTATAAGTGGATTTCATTCAGTAAAAATTGAAGATATTTCTCTCTTTTCAATATATATATATGGAGAGAAAATTCTAAAAAGTTATACATTAAAGAATAACACACACTATGTCTGGGTGATAGCATCTCGGATAATTTTAATTTTTTTCTATTTGCTTATCTACATTTCCCAGTTAGTTGCTAATAAACTTGGAGGAGCAGTTATGAGAACAAAGCCTTGACATGCAGCCCATGAGATGGAGAGCCAGGCCTGGGGTGGGGAGCAATGAGATCATACACACAGTAAATCTGATTTAAGGAGGAACTACTCACTTATCCAGCAGGTTGTCCCTTGGTATCCGAACCTTGTCAAATATTAAAATCCCATTATCCACACCATGCAGACCTAGAGAGAGCAGAGAAGACATGGAGCCGCAGGGGACAAATCCAGGCTAACATCAGAACTACCATCCCTGCTATTCCCAGGCCTGGCTCCACTCAAATGCAAAGCCTTTTTCCAGAAGTGTTATGTGTTTTAGTTGGAGTGGGGGTAGAGGTGCTCTTTGCTTGTTACCTTGAACAGCTGTGCCTTCCTGGGGCTCAGGTGGGGTCTCTGGGGGACACGCCTGCCTACCTGAGCAGTGGCTGTGACTAGGAAAGGGCGAGCTCCAGGCAACAGAAAGAATGTCACACTGAGCACAGAGGGGAGGAAGGCCATCACCCCTCCCACCCCCGCCCAGGGATGCAGAACTCAAGTTCCTCTCCCTCCCGATGCTCTTTCTCAACATATGGGGTAAATTTGTCAAGCAAATGCCTAAAAGACAAGACAGCCAGCCACAAAGACCATGGCAGTGGGTGGATGGGTGGGAAGCCTGGCCACCTGGGAGGTTTCTGAAATCTGCCAACCCATCTCCTCAAGACGTCAGCAGAGCTGGGGTCCACTTCTGGTTCATCTCACTCTTGGGAAACCTTAGTCTGGGGGGAAATATCTCTATTTAGAACATGGCCCCTTGACAAGGACACACCTGAATTTAGAAGCTCCCTAGGCCACCAAGCAGGCTTTCTGAGGTGGTGATGTTTCAACGTCAGGCCCCACTTCACCAAAGCTGGGCCCACCCCTCTGCTCTCAGTACCACTGACACTGGAGGTGCTCGCCGGAGGCGGGGCCCGCGAGGGCCTCAGTCCCCGTGGGAGGCAGGTGTAAAGCACTCACAGACATGCCTGCAGCCCATTCCCGCAGCCACACAGCGGTCAGTCATCAGTGGTCAAAAATCTCGAAGGGGCCAGGGTAAGACCACCCTTATCATAGGACTGTCTTCTTCCGCCAATCTCTTCCCCTGCCCTTTTTTTTCTTTTCTTTCTTCTCCGCCTACCTTGGCTTGGTCTTGGCTGGGGATGACCAGTGAAGCCCACAGGCCTGACCCACCTCCACTGTTATGGGTTGAATTGTGTGTCCCCAAATTCATATGTTGGAGTTCTAACCCTCAATTTCTGTGAATGAGACCTTATTTGGAGATGGGATCTTCACAAAGGCAATCAACTTAAAATGAGGTCATTAAGGTAGACTCTAGTTCAAGTGACTTGTGCCTCTATAAAAGGGGGAAATTTGGACACAGACATATGAACATGAAGACAGACAGAGACACCTATAAGCCAAAGCCAGTGGCCTGGAACAGACCCTCCCTCACAGCCTCAGAATGAGCAATTCTGCCCACACCTCAATCTCAGCCCTGTGACCTCCCAAACTAGTCCACTGAGTCACGCTTAGGACTCATCAAGGGCCTCATGGGCACCAACACCAGGCTGGTGGCTCAAGGGCAGGAAAGAGAGTACCTCAACCTGCCCTCTGAGAGCGCACACATCCAAGGGCAAAAGGGATGACGGAACTCAGCTGAGCTGCCTCATTACTAGGGAATCTGGAGGCTGGGAGGAAACGAGACCCACACACACTCCTAAGCGGAACTCTCCAAAATTCTCTAACAAAAACACTCTAATCAGGCCTCAAAGTCAGAGTCTTCTCTGCCTCACTGGTTTGTAGAGCTGAGTTGGCCTCTTCTTAGGTGGGGTGGGAGCAGGCAGGAAGTGCAAATGAGGCCAGAAGGGAGTCTCCTGGGGACTCATCTTCTTGGTACATCATATCAACCCCAGTCACTCCTGGGTACAAGCTTCTGTTTTCATCGCGAACAAGAGCAATAAAGCAGCGGGGCCCTAAGGAAGGCGAAGAGATGGTGACTAAATTCTGCTTCTAAAGATAGGAGTAAAGTTTTACAACTTCCTGGAACAGGATGAAGTTACGTTGATCCCAAAATCCATTCAGTTCTATGTGCACAGCAGGTAAGAGTGTATAACATCTAAATGTCTGATAAATTTTATTGTCATGTATATTTAGGAGGTAAAGGCAGTGCTGAACCCTTTACAAGATAAACACAGACTTGTGAGTGGGTTTTCAGGGTAAATCGCTCACTGGAGAGCAGTGATAGTGAAGAGAATTGTTCTCATTTTCTGTGGTGACCAACTTTGAGAGCTCCCATGTATGATGAGCTGGGCAAAGACCACGGCATAGTTTCCATATGTGGCATTTCTGATGTACATCTTCTCAGCATCTTCACATGGTATGTGGATGACAAACTCCTATAGCAACAGAAAAGCAACAGCATTTCCTGGGAAACAGACCAGCACCGTGAAGTGCACACACTCAGGTGACTTCACAGCAAAGGAGGAGATGACCAAAGTCATCTGGCTCAGCCTTGTGAGGTCTAGGCCACTGTGCCATCACCTCAGTTCACACAGCTCACCTCCACCTCCCCTGTGAAAATGACTAGAAATTAAAGCACTTTTCAAAGAATCTTCCAATCAGAAAAGTGAGTTGCCAGTTTTCATTGGATAAAGGTGTTCATCCCTCCATCCTGGCCTCTCCATTATAATGTTGGGCTGACACGTGTGCTATCACTGAGGCCACCCAGCTTCAGTGTCTCAAGGCTTTCTTCTATTATCAACATCTTTCTAGACAACTTCACACTGAGGCTTTGACTTTTTTTAAAAAAGGGAAGTGGGTTTTTTTTAAGATTGTATATATTTATTTTTAGAGAGGGAAGGGAGGAAGAAAGAGAGAGAGAGAGAAACATCAATGTGTGGTTGCATTTTGCGCACCCTGTGCTGGGTACCGGGCCTGCACCCCAGGCATGTGCCCTACACTGGGAATCAAACCAGCAACCCTTTGCTTTGCAGGCCAGCACTCAATCCCCTGAGCCACACCAGCCAGGGCAAGGCTTTGACTTTTAAGTAATCCAACACCCAAGCTCCTAAAAGCCCTGTAGTGTCTGTTCAGCTCTCTTTCCACTCCTTGTCCCCAAGCAGCCCACCACCTACGAGGTTCACAAACAGGATGGACATCCAATGACCTGGGGCCCTAGTTGAACAAGTCCATATCTATGTATTTACTTTTGTCTGTCAGTCATCACTCCTTTGAGACAAACTGCTTGGCTCCCCATGCCTGCCACTGTACCCAGGCCATGAATATCCCTGCCTCTGTGGGCAGGGTCTGTCATTCAAAGAGCAACCAACTAACCAAAGGCCAAAAGAGTATGCTCGATGCCAGCAAAACTAACATGCAACCTTGACCTGCTCCCACCACTGCTTAGGCTCTCAGCCCATACAATTTTGGTTTTTATAAAAAGGAAAAACTTAGTTAAGGCTTTGAATGGCTGTTTCAGAACCTGCCTCTCCATTTTACTAATTGATGAATAAGATAATAAAAGATCCCTCAAAAAGGTTCATACACACAAACGCTTAGAACCATTTGTAAGTGATTCTCTATCATACAAGAAAAAGAATCTTAGAGTGTGTCATGCAGGTTGTCTCCATAATAGATCAAGGAGTCCAGCTTAAAACAGTCTGCAAATAACACTCATCAGGGAGAAGCAGGATGAAAATGCAGAGTTTTTGTTTTAAATCTCTGCTCAGAACTTGTTTTTCTTTTTCTTACTCACTGGACACCAGTAGTACAGGATCACAATGGAAATGCTCCTCCTTAATCTGTTGGATCTCCCTAACTTGGTTCACCACATGGGTTACCCTGAAACATCTCGTCTAGGACAGACTGACCGCAACTGCCAGCTCTGAATACAAGGTACCCGGGACAGGTGGGGGCGTCCAGGGAAAATGTGTCACTTAATTGGAGCTGGCAATATTGTAGATGTGACAGAACTAAACCAACAAGCTATTGATCATGGACAGATTATCTCAGGTTTCAGATTTTAAAGTACATAGATTCCACTTTCCCTCTGGCCAAGAAATACAGTCTTGAAGCCTAAGAAAACCTGCTCTGACATATGTTTGCACAGGGAAAGTGCAAGGGCTTTTCAGAGATATAAATGGACATGGCTGAATCCTCTTAAGACACTAGAGGCTGCCGTGGTCTTAGCGGGCCAGCCAGGACTTCTCAAAGAAAGGAACTATTTGAGGCTGGTGTAGTAAAAACAAACAAGCAAGCAAACAAAAAACAACAACAGCCCATGTGGTGAGGGGAAGCTTGCACCTCAAGGGAAGTAAAGGGAGTAGCAGAAAACCACTGGCCTGGCAGGAAAGATCTGGTGGGGTGGGAAAGAAGACAGGAGGCCACCAGTCCCCATAAACATCTGATATGCTCTGGGAAAGGAGGTTTGTCACTTCTGGCAAAAACACTTGATTTGGAAAGTTTGCATCAGCCAAAATGCTGGCGTTATAGCTGGATCTACATAATGCACACCATGTGTGTCGGTTCCTGTTATGACTCTTCGCTGAGGGCCAGCAGAGTGGTCACTGCTATAAGCTCCAAAAATTAAGATGCCTTTCTCCTGAGAGATTTTAGCCTCATTTATTTTTTTTATATTTAGCATAGAGTATAAAAATAAAACTCTCTCTTACCTCTAACTGTCCATACCACCACCCAACACCGTCCCTCCAAAAATAAAACAGCCAACACCAGGAAAGGAATACCAAAAGCTGCAAGAGACTGAAACAGTCCTTGAGGGAGCAGAGGCTCACTTGAGACACTCTCACAGTTTAAAGGAAAATGCAGGGAGAAAATAAACCAACGCAGGAGAGATTCATCCCCTCCATGTCATCCTCAGGAGACACAGGACTCACCAGAGTCCCCTCATCTTTATGCTGCCACTTCTGAGGCTCCCCTGCTGCCAGGAGGTGCTCCCACAGCACGCCAGGGAGCTAAGTCATTCGTGCTGTTTAGGGAAAATGGGACAAGCACAGGGAAGGGATTTTTGTGGGGAAAAAAATAACGGTAGCATGAAACAAATAAATAAAAGCTCTTGGTGAAGGTTTTTTCCCTTTAGTGACAGCAAGGTGACCTCAATACCATGGTTTAGGGAGAGAAAAAAACTGGCTACCCCAAACCCAAAAGATGCTCAGTCAGCATCCATCACTGCAGGAAAGCTAAACTGTTAAGGATGATCACACTGGAACCTGAGACTCGCTCATGAACTGCATAGCCATAATCAGATTCGCAACCTCTGTGCGCCTCAGTCTCTCCATCTGTAACATAGGGATAATAATATCTTCCTACAAGATTACAGAATATTTGACAATGTGACATACAGAAGAATAGGTCTGGTGCCCAGCACACATGTGCTCAATGAACAGAAGCAGCTCGCTGACAGTTTGTGGGACAGTCGTGAGGGAATATGGAACACGGCACAGAGGGAATGCAGCACGGAGCCTAGCACCTGGTGAGCGTGCACTACACGGCAGTCCTTACTTTTGTTATTATGACTTGGACATCACCAGCTGCTGAAGACAACGAGCAGCAGGGCAAGAGGAAAGGCAGGGCACACCCCAACACAACCCTCACCTGAACCTGCCATTCTAAACACTGACACCTAGCACTTGTGGGTCAGGAAGACTTACGAATGAAAACCCAGACTCTAAATGACAAACAGCAAACATGAAGACCAGGCTTATTAACCACATACATGTGCACAGGGCCATACCCACACTCGTGCACAAGCTTGCACATTTACATGCACACCAACTCACTTCTAGAACTTCAAAATGTATTTATTCCTTTGCAGTTCTTATGGATACTCAATGTCAAATGGGAAACTATGAAGGGGAGTGAAATGAGTAAACATTTGCTTTCTTTATTCACGGGGAGTGGGAGCTCAGGAATGGGGGAGGGATTTCAGAGCAGTGTTTCACATGGCCAGTTGTGACCCATACCAGAAACAGATCAACTGGTAGGGTCTCAAGAAATATTGCGGGGTTTTTTTAAGCTTTTAAATTTATTTTTAGAGAGGTGGGGAGGGAGGGGAAAAGAGAGGGAAATATCAATCACTTGCCTCTCGCAGGCACCCCGACCAGAGACTGAACCCTCAATCCGGGCATGTGCCCTGACCAGGAATTGAATCAGCAACCTTTTACTTTGTGGGACAACGTCCAACCCACTGAGCCACACTGGTCAGGGCTCAAGAAGCATTTTTTAATTAACATGAAGGAAAGGGAAACTCTTGGAGTTCATCACATGTAGTAAAGATAGGAAAAGTATAATTGATTTGTGAAATGTTTGCTTCGGTTGTCATATGAAATTTCATGCAGGTCACGGATAAGAATTTTAGCACAATGCTGGTACAGAGGACCCCCGCTCCTGGTAAGGAAGACCCAGCACAGACAGTGCCCTCCTGCCACACAGCGCGATTGAGGGAGGGTACCAACAACGACATCTCTTCCAGTCATTCACCCACTACCGTGAGGAAGGACCCCAAAACAGCTTTGTCACCGTTCTCATTGAGTTGTCATAGGCATTATTTAATTGCATGTAAGGTATTCAGAGTGGCATCCACCACCACATAGTAGGTGCTATGTAGGCACTGATTGGTATTAGATTTGTTGTGAATCAGAGTACCTCGTGCCAGAGGGCACACCCAGAGGCTACGAGGCTGGGCTTGGTCAGAGGGAGAGCCTTGGTCTGTGCAGGTGTCCTACTGCCCGGAACCACAAAACAACCAAAAGAATCCTCACCTGTGCAGAGAGATCAAAAGTGGTTTCGGTCTGGATCCCTCTCACATTGCTCCCATGGCCCCACTCGGTCATTGCAAACATCCCAGTGTATTTCTGCTCCTGGAGTTTACCAGACATTAGAAAGGGATTAGCTGGGCAGGTGGCTGCTCTAACTGCAGAGCTCTCAGATCATTAAGAATGACGGCAAGAAAGAGAGAGGTGACAGCTAATGTGATGTTAACAATATGACAGGCTTAATGCAACAGAAAAAAAGAGAGTGAAATTCTCATTCCAAACAAAATTCTGGCTGACACTAATTCTGCTTCATTTTTTTTCTGCACGGACACATGCCCTAGCTACTGTGAATTTTTAAGGCTCAGGATAAAAGAAGACACCAGCCCTGACTGGTGTGGCTCAGAGGATTGAGTGCCGGCCTATGAACCAAAGGGTCGCTGGTTCGATTCCCAGTTGGGATACATGACTGGATTGTGGGTCAGGTCCCCAGACCCCCAGTAGGGGGCACACAAAAGACAACCACACATTGATGTTTCTCTCCCTCTCTTCCCCTCTGTCTAAAAATAAATAAATAAAATCTCTGAAAAGAAAAAGACCTCAGTTGAGGTACATGCCATACTTGGAGTGGCTGAAGCCACTTACCTACCTGTCCTGGGCTTCCAAGATTCCCAATCGCACCACCAAATAGCCAATAAATTATTCCACACTGGAAACAAAGACAATACAGGCCATTGTTAGCAACACTCAACAACTGAACGACAGCTCGCCCCACTGCTCAAACTCCATTCAAGGAGAATCTGTTAAGCTCATGGAGCAGTCGCAAGGTTTACGTGCCCACACACCCCTTGTCCACCTGTTAAGCTCCAGGTCTTCTCTGCAGACATGGCTCATGGTCCTGAGAGGCCACTCCAACCCCACAGAGAGCCAGTTTTCCAACTCAGAGCCACCCTGTTTACCCTATCCAGTGGCTGTTCTGAATGTTCATGCTGCCTGTCTACTCAGAGTCCAGCTCGGTGCCTGGGATGGAATGCATGCAAGCAAGCAGCAGAAAGGTGACGGAAGAGTTGCTGCAGCAAACACCAAGGCACTCCGCCAGGATGAGGCAGGCTGGGTCAGACCCCATTCAGATACCCACCCCTATGGGACCTCAGACAAATGACATGGGAGCCTCCATTCCCTGTTCAACAATGAAGTGAATAATGAGCACTCCAACTAATGAGCACCCACACTTTCCAGGCACTGAGCTCCATACATATGATCACTGGTTCTCATGACAACCTGGAAAAGAAAACATCATCACCCCCACTTGACAGATGAGGGCTCTGAGGTTCAGGAAAGAGAAGTGACCAGGAAAGTCTTCCCTGGAGGAAACGGGCAGGGCTAAGTTTCCAGCCCAGGCTGCCTGACATCTAACAGTATTCCATGAAGCTGCGTCAAGGATTCGGTCAGGGTCAAGACTTTTGCGTGGTCTTTTGTAAACCCTAAAACCATTATCCCATCTAAAAACACAATAATTCTTTAATATTGCCAAATATTCAAAGTACAAATTTTCCCAACTGGCATGTAATTTTTCTTTACAATTTGTAGTTTGAACTAGGATCTAAATAACGTGCAGACATTGCAACTGGTCAGAATGTCTTTTAAGTCTGCTTGGACCACAGGCTCCCTCCCCTCATTATGCCACCGACATTCCCTTCAGGACTCAATGCACCAGGCTCAATGCCAGATCCCGGGGATTCGGAAAAGAGGGCCCTGCTCACAATTCAGGAACACCTGTGGAGATTTCCCAGGTCACACTCCACCAGATCTGACTGAGGAGAAGGCAGGTGGAAAGGCAAGATGGCTCCTGAGTGTAGACCAGGGTCCACCAGCGTTTCTGAGAGGAGGGACTATGTGCTGCATCGCAGCTGAATTTCTTCTCTGTGGAGCCACAGCCGATGCATCCAGAAGGGAAGAGACCCTGACTGGTTCAATTTACAGAGAAGCCAGTCTCCCCTGAGGGACCTTGCAGTGGGTGCCCTCACCACCGTTGGCAATCACGGATTTGTTTTTAATTCCTACATATTTTTAAGTGACTACACTGCAGAACAGAAATAATCGCCACCTTGGACTCACCAACAATCCACCTAGCTTCCTGCCTGATCATTCTCTCTTCATGCTCTAGTTATAATTTTCCCCTATGGGAACATCAGACTGGAGGCTTGGATGTAGGAACTAACTCTGAAGCACAAGGGTGTCCACAGAAGAAAAGGGGGGCATATGTGGGGCCACATGCATGACCCTCTGCTGGGGGACTTAGGGCACATGAGGGGCCATAGCAGTCACGCACTTTAAGCTACTCTGTTCACCATCTTTGATGAGCTGGGACATGCATAGCAAGCCCCACAGTGCAGTGCCACTTTAAACCCATATGGCGGCAAAATGGAGAAGTCTAAGACATCCAAGTGCAGGGCACATCCACACAAAGGAATACAACACAGCAGTCAAAAATGAACAAACTTCCACTTGTATATCATTCTCAAAAGGGCAAAACTATGAAGACAGAGAACAGATAAGTGGTTGCCACAAAAACAGGGATGGTGGGGGCTGGAGGCAACAAAACGGGTGGCCCTGTGCATTCCTGTGAAGATGAAACAATTCTATATCTTGACCGTGGTATTGGCTGCATGAGTCTATATGTGGAACCAAACTGCACAGAGCTACACACACAGACACACAAACAACTGAGTGTGTGTAACAGCTGTAAAATCCAAATAAGATCAGCAGTCTAGTTAACATACTGTACAAGTGTTGATTTCCTGGCTTTATTTACATTTATTTATTTATTTATTTATATTGCATTATAGCTATGTATGCTGTCGCCACTGAAGAAAACTGGGTGAAGAGTTCCTATAACTCTATATACTATTTTTGTAGCTTCCCATGAGCATTATTATTCTAAAATAAAAAGATTTTAAAAGATAAATATGAGTGCAGTGGCAAACAACCATATAGATCCATTAGTGATAATACTTGAGTGAAGAAAGTATATCACAAATGATTATGATATTGTTTTTATAAAATTAAACAAATGAAAATAATTGACTGACACAATGCCATAAAACTAAACAGAAAGAAAAGCAAAGAAAACACAAATACAGGGTGGAAGGTAATGGTTAAAGAGAAGGTTGGGAGGCGGGTTGTAAGCAGTACCATTTTACAAATACCAGTTTCCATAAATAGACAGATAGGTACCTGCAGGATTCTGATTTTACTCCTCAGCATTCAAAACCAAGGGTCAGCTCATGCAGGGCAGGTGCCCAGTCCCTCTCACCTTTACCGCTGTGGCCACATCTGCTGTGGAGAGGGCCTCTCCTAACACGAGGCTTCGACTGACAAAATGCTTTGTGTTCTCTGCCTGAAAACAAGACAGAACAATGTCAAGGTTTCGTTATGGTTTTCTGACCTTCTGAATTAACATTTTTTATAATAAACATATTTATTTTTAAAATAAAAATGCAACACAGAGCAGTTGTTAAATGAAAATTAATCCCATCATCCTACTGAAATAGATGTTTCCATCCTTTTTTTTCCAATCCTCACCCAAGGACATTTTTTCATTGCCTTTAGAGAGACAGGACAGGAGAAGAGTGAAACATTGATGTGACAGAGAAACATTGATCATTTGCCTCCTGTATGCATCCTGACCTGGGATCCAACTGCAACCTGGGTCAGTTTACGGGACGACGCTCCAACCAACCGAGCCACACCAGCCAGAGCACATTCATCCTTTTTTATGAGACCATCTAGTCTTCGACCACATATGAAGTGCTTAAAGACAATTTTATTACACAATAGAAAGTGAACTGTTTCTGCTTGAAGGCCAGACTCCAGACAGATTCCTCTTGCACCTCGAGTGGCCTTAACTGGGTTTGTTCCTGGCCCTTCCCGAGCCCAACGCCCTCATGGGCCTGCCTGCGACCTCTCTGCACTGACCTCTGACCAGCAGAGAATGTCTGGCTCAAGTCCAGGTGACAGCCTTGAAAAAGACAGAAGATTGGAAGGTTTGAAGACACAGGAAGAGCAATATTCTTCACTTTCCTTTCTAACCTAGACCACCTCAGCCTTTGATCATTTAAAACCCCCATTCATTACCCTCATTTCACTCACTGTACACAACAGCTGCAAACCCCACAGCTACATGAGCACACGCTTCTCCACCAGCCAGAAGTGAGACAGGGCTGTCCACTGTCACTGTTTACCTTCAAATATCAGAGGCAGGGTCATTTCCTTGGAAGGTGGGGGCCCCCTGCCCATTGTTAATGTTAACACTAGTCTTCCTTACTCATCAGTCTTTCCTGAAACCCAGCTAACAGGGTGGTGTTTGTCGCCTGTGTGCACATGTGTATATACATGTGTGGTGTATACATGTGTGCATAAGTGTACACATGCTTATGTCTGTGGTTATATATTGTACGTGCGTATATACTGTGGTGTGTTTATGTGTGTGCACATGAGCATGTGCGCCTGTGTGTGTAATCTGCCCCACCAGCAGCAGGATGAGAGCCAACCTTCCTCAGATGGGTCTGTTTCCATGTGGGCCTGAGCTCTCTCCCCAACTGCACTTTGTTTTCTCCTCCTGTAGGTTTTTACATGTTTCTCTCAAGTATTAATTTTTTCAAACAGCACACTGTCAAGATTTATGACTCTTATCATGGCTCCAACCCAGTGCATCTTGTATTGATTATTTCCTAAAATATCTCCAGGCTCGAGTACGAACAATTGCGTGGCTCTAGCTCCAGCTCCGGCTCCAGCTCCCACTGGAGTTAGTTACCAGCAAATAATAAAAAACAACTGTAAAGATATTAATATCTTCAGGCTTTTTCAAAGGGCCCATGGGTTTTCTGCCCCCCAAATGCTAACAACAACCCTCTACAAGAGGCTAAGCAGGACAGGAATCACTGACCCCATGTAACAGATGGACATGTCTAAGCTCAGAGAGATCAGAAGATTTGTCCAACCAGCGTCACCCAGTAAATGGCAGAACAAGGGCCAGAAACCAGATCCTCAGATTCCTCAAGGATGTCTGGCCCCTACCCCTTGCTGCCCCTCATTGTTAAGCTGGAGAAAACCTGGGACTCTGGGGGCCCAGCTTATCACTGCTCAACCCCTACGTTGTACTCCAGTGAGCACCTGACATCAACACGTCCCTGCGACCAGGTGATCTTTCTGAACATCACCCCACCCCACATGGTGACAACAAGCCCTTCCTCACCTTAACACCACCACTCAGCTGTAGCCAAACCTAAACCACTAGGAGTAAGCAAACCCCTCAAAGTCTCCAACTGTTCATAGTTTTCTTCATATTTCATTCTCTCCATTTATACTGTTGATGGAGAATTACAACCTTGTCATTAGTGGTATCCATCTGGGATCATGTTATTCACCAGTTTGAAATAAATTGCAATCACATTTGCTGAAGAATCAACCCCGAATTTAGTCATCTTGAGGCATATAAATTGCTTCTGACACTTACTTTCCTTCCCCCAGTCTCTGCACAAGACAGCGATCTTTGCTATTAGACTCAATGGGCAATGCCAACAGGAGTTTGCCACTAATCCTCTGCTGTTGATTTAAGCATTCACTTAGCTTGGTCCATTTCCAGAAGTCAAGCAACAGTTCCAGAACTGATACTAGGCCTAATGTAATTGACTGCCCTACTGGCACATATTTTTAACATCTTCCCCACATATAAATTCTCCCCTTTCTTTAATCACTCCTGATGTGTTCATTGTTCTTAAAGAATGTCTAATATTGACAAGACTCCCCTCTCATTAAACTGACAACATAATGAATTGTCTATATTGATAATGATCAATTAATGACGTGTTTCAGCACACACTTTTACAGTATTTCTACTATGTCAATAGCTGCCTTCCTTTAGACTTGACATATTCAAACCAAGCTCAATGCCCATATCAGAATGTTAGTTTGTATTAAGTTTAAATGATAATGGTTCCATAAATGTATGGGGGATAGACTCAGGCTTGGATTTTATCCTAAATTATACCCCATGCTAATTACATTTCTGCTTAAATTCAGTCTCAAACAGAAAGAAGGTAGTTTCCCCTAAAAGAGCCCCCATTTCTTTGCAGAGCACTTGATGTACCAGACTTTTATGACATAATATTGTGTCACAAATCAAATTCTACAAAAATGTATATTTTTAGTTTTATAAGCCTCAAGAGTCTCTAAAAGGCAGATAAACTTTTCTTCCACTAAAGTCAACCTGATTCAGCACTGGGGGGTCTATAACTTGAGCTGTCTTTCCTCTGATGTTAAAAGACCCTCACTGCCCCCTGGCAACTCATCAGCAGCCCCAATTAGGTGCCAGCCAAAGAAACTGGGCAGAGATTCCTGAACTTAGCTTTCTCATATCAGTCCACAAACAGATATTTGCTGCTTCTGTCTTCTGGTTTCAATTTTCTATTTTAGTTATTTTAAGTCTTTTCAGTCTTATTAAATACAAGCCCTTTGTCATAATTAGCCTCAAATTATTTTAGAAAGAGAAGTAATCAGAGTAAAATGTACAAATAAAATAATTAAATGAGCTTCATGGACTCATTTATCTTGGTTTAACCAGACTCTTGCCTCTGGCCTAACCGGTTCTGAACCTCCCTCCAAAACAGACCCTCAGGCTGGCCCCTTCTTGCATCCCCCACCACCATCCCGTGCCTGGACTATTGTTAACAGCCTCCCTGCTGGCTTCCCGCTGCCTCAAACTCCAATTATGGTATTATTATTATCATCATCATCATCATCAAGGTAAAATTTATATACAGTGACATGCATAGAGCTTAAATGCACGTGTTCTGGTCAATTAACTACCTGTGTAACCATAATGACAATTAGGATCATAGAATGATCCCATCATCTCCAGGTGTCCTCATGTCCCTTTTCAGAGAGTCCACAGGGAACCACAGCCCGGCTCTTCTTTTTATCACCATCATTAACTTTGCCAGTTCCTGAACATAATTATACGAAGGGAATTGTACAGGACATACTCTTCTCTGTCTGCATCCTTTCATGCAAATAATTCATCCATGCTGCTTTGTCTATTAGCAGTTCCTTCTTTTTTATGACTGAGTCATTTGCCATCTAGGACTATTCCACAATTTGTCCAATCTCTTACTGATGAACATTTGGATTATTTCCAGTTTGGACTTACTATGAATAAAGCTGATATAGAGACATTCATGGACCAGTCTTTTGTGAACACATGTTTCCATTTCTCTTCTATAAGTCCCCAGGAATGCAATTTCTCGGTTAAAGGGTAAGTTTCTGCCTAACAGTTTTTCAAAATGGTTGCACGATTAACTCTCCTATCAGCATCTATGAGGGTCCTAGCTTCTCCCCATCCTTGTCAGGATTATCAGTCTTTTCTATTTTTAGCTATTGTGGAAGGAATGTAATGTCATCTCATTATGGTTTAAATATGCATTTTTCTGAAGACTCAAGATGTTGACCACATTTTTATGTTTGTTGACCATTTCTGTAGTTTTATAAAGTGTCTGTTCAAGTCTTTTGCCCATTTTTAAAAACTGCATTGCCTTTCTATCACTGAGCTCTAGGAATTATTTATATATTCTGGGTACAAATCCCTTGTATCTGGACATGAATTTTTGTGATATATTACACAATTGCTAACAATAGGCTAATATATTGTATATATATTTTGTGATAATGAGGTGAAAAACACCTCATTGCAGGTGTTTTTCCTACTTTTGGGATTACCTTTTTTTCTCTTACTGGCTTTTGATGAACAATAGTCTTCAGTTTTGATAAAGGCCAATTTACCATTTTGTTCCTTTATATGTTTAGCTTTTGGGGGGTCCTCTTGAAGAAACCTCTGCCTATCTTAAAGTCAAAAAGACAATCTCTTTTGTTCTCCTACAAAATTTGTAATTCTAGAATTTATGTGAAGGTGTACCACATTGTTCAACTTATTTCTGTGTGTAGTGAGAGGGAGGGACCAAGATTAACTTTTTCTATATTTATCTAGTTGTTCAGACACCATTTATTGAAAAGACTTTTCTTTTCCCATCAATTGCCTTGGCAACATTGCCCAAAAATCCACTGATCACGTGTGTGGGTTCATTTCAGGACTCTCCAGCTGTCCCATTCATCTCTTTGTCAGTCCTGTGCCAATACCAGCCAGTCCTGAGTGCCTTGTGATAAGTCTTGATATCAAAGATGGAGAATTCTCCAAATGTTCTTCTTTTCCATAATTGCTTTGACAATTCTAGGGTGTGTTTTTTGTATTTCCATGGGCTTTTTAAATGAACTGGTAGATTTTAATGAAGGCACTGTAATACTTTTAAAATAAGCATCATGTTGTGCTTCCCTCCTTCTCCTCCCCCTCCCCTACCTCTACATATCACCTCCAATGCCCCTGACCAGTGTGGTTCAGGTGGGCATCATCCTAAAAACGAAAAAGTCTCCAGTTCAATTTTGGGTGAGGGCACATGCCTGAGTTACGGGTTTTGGTCCCCAGTCAGGGTATGTACAGAAGGCAACCAATCGATGTTTCTCTCAAAGCCTGGTGCCTGAGCAGAGTGTTGGGAGGATTCTGCCATAAAGGCCATACGCTTCTACTCTCCCAGGGCCCTAAGGACTCCAGGAAAGCCCAGTGCAGGTAGGATGCAAGGTGACAGTCCCATGGACCTATCTAAGAGTATTTTCCTCTTTCACAACAACAATATTGTAATACTCTGACAGTTTAGGATTTTCCAATTCTTGTCTTCCATTTCCTACCTCTTCCTACCAAATTCCTAGCCACTTTGGAAAGTTTTCTGACTATTACTGTATCCACTAACATCAATATTGACAGCATATGGTGATGAACGTATCATAGTGATATTATCACACTTACACAAGCTTCCTTTTTTGTTCAAGGGAAGCACATTATTTTACATTCATTTTAACGAAAAATAGTGGTTGATTTTATACACTGCAACTTTGCTGAATTTATAAGTTCTAATGGTATTTTGTGGAATCTTTAAGGTTTTCTACATATAAGATCATGTCATCTCTAAACATGGGTAGTTTTACTTCATCTTTTCCAATTTACCATGTTTGATTTTTATCCACAGCACTTACAACCATCTGACATACTATAAAAACATCATGTTTATTAATTTATCGTTGGCCTCCTCCTAGACTAAAGGCCGGCTCCATAAAGATAAGTTTTTGTTTTTTGGGTTTTTTGCCTGCTTTGTTCACTGCTTCTTGAACAATGTTTGGCTCATAGTTCGTGT